CTGCTTCTCTGCTTCTCAGCGCTCACCTTCTGATAGCTGACTCTGAGTTTTTATTATTAAGATTAATTAAAATCCATGCCACTCAGCTATGTAGATTTATGATTGTACGCATGGACAATAACTTCTATAATATTTAATATGTTGTGGTAAAATACATAACATGAGCTCTGCCTTAAACAGCGTTTAAAATATGTACAAGTACATGGTTCCAAACTTTGCTAGCAGATCTGCAGACTTCATCTTGTACAAATGAAACATTAAACTGATTGACTAACAATGTCCCTTCCTGTCTCCTCCAGTAGAGAGCATCCTTGCACTCTCTAGGTCTTGGAGAATTTGAGATAATTCATGTAATCGGATCCATGTGTGCTTATCGCTTGAATGACATATACTTCAACATCCTTAAGATTTATTAATTATTGCATTTTGTAAACCTTCTTTCCCTTTAAGGTTGAAGCAGTTTACAGTGAGAAGTCACATTTCCCTAGCACATTGAAGGGACATTTAGATTGTTTCTGCATTTTGGTTTTGTGAGTAGTGCTGTAAGGCACATGAGTGTGCTATTTCGTTGTTTTCAATTCTATTTTTTCCCCCTGGGACTGTGTTTCTCTGTGTAGTCCTGGTTGTCCTGGAACTTGCTCTGTAAACCTGGCTGGCCTAGAACTCACAGGTATCTGTCTGCCTCTGCCTCCCAGTTTTCAATTCTGTTAAGTTTTTGAGAAATCTTGTTTATTTCTTTAGAGGAGATAACATTTTGCATTCCCACAGTGTACAGGGTTCCATTTTTAAGCATTAATACTGACAGTTATTTCCTCTATACCTTGTGATAACAATGCCCTGACAGATCTAATACCTCATTGTGATTTTGATTCACGTTTTAATGATAAGTGGTGAAATTGTATTTTTGTTTTCTTATTGGTTAATTGCATTTCTGTTTGGTGGTGCTGGGTCTTGAACCCAGGTCCTTATTCATGCCAGGGAAGGATTCTAATCTACTAGGGAAGGAACTGCTTGCATTTCTTATTGAGAGAAATGCTTATCCAACTCATAGCACTCTTATTTCTTTTCATTTATTGTTATTTTAAATTAGCATGGAATAATGGGTTTCTTTATGGCTTTCTCACACAGTATTTGTTTTGTTCATGTTCAGTCCACCATGTTTTCTAGTTCTCCTGACCCATCTCCACAGCCCCCATCCCCTGAATATTGTCCCTTTCTGATTTCATACTTTATACATACATATTTAATATATATTTTGTATATAAACACATATTGTATATACTTATATACATATTTATGTAAACTTATATCCATAATATGTAGTATTGTGTATGAGAGAAGCATGCAATATCTGTATCTCTGACTTAGTCTATGTCATCTGGCATGATGGTCATGAGTTCTATCAGTATGTGGTGTAATTTTACAGTTTATGGCTGAATAGACCTTAACCATGCTTGTATACCAATTTTCTTTTCCCATTCTTCTTTTTAAAAATTATTATTTTTTTGCATATTGATGTTTTGCCTGCGTACTGTTGTGCCCAGATTACGAACCTCAGAGAGAGGCCACCAGAAACCAGAGCAGACCGGACTGCAAAATACAAGGTTAACCCCTTTGTTGCAAGTATAGGCTAGCCATGAACTTCTCCAATACCCCAAAACAGCAAGGTAGAGAGAGAAGTTAAACAGTTCCTTTGCAGAGTTAGTTTTTAAAAGGCGATACCACAAGAAGGCCTTTCAGAGCCGCTTTGGCATCGGTGCAAGATCCTTTGCTCTCTCCCATCCTGCTATGTCAGCCTGTTCTTCATTTTTCTTTATCACCAGGTGGCTGGCTGAGTGTCCTTGTGCTTTGGAATTTCTCGGGTGGGAGGGGAAAGTGAAGCTAGTCTGTAATTCTAATTTTAAAACATTCTGCTAGGAAATTTTCATCCCTTTAAGAATAGGGGTGAGCGTCTCACAATACGTGTACACTACATGTGTGCTTGGTGTCTGAGGAACTCAGAGCAAGGCATAGAATGCCTTGGAATAGAGTTACAGATGTTTGTGAACCTCCATACAAGTGCTCGGATTTGAACCTGTGCCCTCTGGAAGAACAGACAGTGCTGTTAACCTAAGAGCCATCCTTCCGCCCTCTGCCTCCATTCATCTTTTGATGGGTTTTCAGCCTGAGTCTGTATGCTGACTATTTGGAACAGTTCAAGGATAACTTGGATGTGTGTATGTCTGCTGTGTACTGACGTGGGGGGCTCTCTCACTTTGGTGTTTTATGAAAAATACCAGCTGTAATACCTGTTGACGTATGCAAGTTCACGAGTAACTGCAGACAAGTGATTTTCACCCACTTATCTGTATCTTAAACCTTTTATCTCCATGACAGTTTCTGCTGTCGCGTGCTGATTGGGATGATTGTTTGTTTTCATCTTTTCCTGGCTCTCAAAATCAAGGTGCTGAGGGAAGAATTCAGTTCCATTTCCACTTGGAAGTGGCACCAGGGAACCAGCACCCCCTCCATCGTCTTGCCCCATCTAGAAATCCCAAAGTCCTCTGCACTCCGTTGTCTTTCTCATGACTCACATTAAACCCATCATTAATTCTTTTTGATTCTGAAGCAATCTTGAGTTATCTTCCCAGGGTCAGCTTTGAAAGTCTCTCATTTGTACATTGCTGAGAACAGTCTCAGAAGTAAGTCATATACATCGCTGTCAGAATTTTTATTTATACAGAGGGTTTTTTTTTCATGTCACAAATCTTCTTAGGTCATTCTTTGCCCTAATTATATTGCCTTTTGTTCATTGGTAGTACCGTTGGCTTTATTCATGGATTCATGGATCCTGCATCTTTGGAATTAACTGAACATTGAGTGAAAATATTCAGAAATGGGGCTTTGGGAGATGGCTCAGCATGTACAACACTTGCCCTGTAATTGTTGTGAGATTCAGACGTCTAATCTAGAAGTCTAATCCACGGAAGACGCAGTAAGCAAAGTGCCCACCTGTAATGTCAACATGCAGGAGTTATAGATAGGGGTTCTTTGGGACAAACTGGCTAGATAGACTAACTGAAGTGGGGAGCTGTGGGGTTCAGCAAGAGACTTTGCCTCAATATAGAAGATGGAGAGTGATTGGCAGAGTCGCTCAATGAGAAACATGGACCTTCATATGCATGTGCCCATACATCTCATAAATGTGCACCTCTGGACATCCAAACATGCATTCATACATACATGTACAAACACCACATACACACACACACACACACACACACACACCACACACACACACACACACAAACACACACACACACACACACACACACACACACACACACACACACACA